GTTTAATCGTAGAGCAGTAAAATGAGTTAACATAGCAGCAGTTAAAAAAATAAAACTGCTTCAGCTCGGTCACATTTCAACAATAAGCAGATTTTTATAAAACCAATAGATTTAAATGCCAACCCCATTTGTCACTCTCCTCCCGCACAAACTAGTTTTTCCTCTCTTGTGCTTTTTGTGGAGGTAGAAATTATTTGTTTCTGATATAAATTCCCTCGACCCCCAGTTTTCCTTCATGCTGTTGTGTGTAAATGTGAGTTTGTAAGTGTGATGGCAAAGATGTGGTTGAAGTGACCCAGCAGTCATTTTTCTCTATACCTAAAGGAGTTTTTAACACAGGAGGGTTCTGCAGTGCAGGAGCTGCACTTGACTGACAGGTTAATTTAGAGGTGTGGAAAAAACACAAGATTGCATTTATGATGCAAAAGATGGAAAAAGGCCACCCTGGCTTATCTTTTAGCCTGACCACAATGCATATTTTTTAAGCTGTTAAGCTTAAAAAATATGAAACAAATAAATAAGAAACAGGTTAGGTTTCATCACAAGAAAAACAAAGAAATAAGAAACAGCTTTAAACCGTTTCTTAAAGCAGTAAAGTTGCTAATAAGCTGATAAAAATGGAATTGAGTTTAGAAACCAGTAACAAGGTTATTTTCAGGAATTTATTACAGAAAAAAATTTAACACGTGTCATAGGAATAAAGAGTATGATTAAGTACTGTAGTTCTGTTGATTCAAATTCATCTTACATATGAAGAGTTATCTATTTTAGTCAAACAAATAAAATGGAATTAATCAGCATCAAAGCAAAGGTTTTATTTTGCAAAGAAGGTGCTGGACTCAGGGTTGGAAGAGTTGGAACATCCTCCTTTTTCTTTACAGTTGCAAAGACACAACAGTTTTACTGTTTTATGAGCCAAATCCTTTTCTGTTTTGTTTTTATTTGTGTTTTATTTATACCGTAATGTTTTAATGAGCACATTGGAACCAGTTGCTGGGTTACTACTGTCCACATTTTCACCTGTGTTGGCTTTAAATGCATGCCCCTTTACAGTAATCTTACAAAGTGTCTTTGACTCATACACCTGGAACAAAGCCGCCCATCTTTCTTATTATGGTTGCCTCTAACTCTTTTCAAGCACATTCTAGGCTTTATTGGCTCATTATGAAAACTAATTCAATCTGGCCTGATGAGGTATTGAAGGTGGGTGCACATTGAACTATTGAACAGCAATATCATATCTAAGTAGAAGTTCAGATTTCTAGTCTCTTATTTGTCTGAACTGGACTGTTGATTAGTTACAGTTCTCTTAATGGCAGCTTTTGTTGAGACTGCTATTTTGGACTTTTTTTGTCTGTTAAAATGAGAGGTGGCACATGGTTGCTTTTTGCCGTTCCATAATAGCTTAACTACATTTATTTTTGAGAAAAAATACTTATTTTGCACATCAATTTATGTTTCATTGGATTGTTTTGTATTCAGTTGAAAAATAACATTCATTGTACCAAATTTTTAGTATACCCTTTTGTAAAGTTAGATCTTAATATTTATAGAACCCAGTGAAGCAAACTATAACTGACTGGATATATACATTTAGGCAATTGCATGACGAGCATGCTTGGAAAGGCCCTCTCTCTGTTTCAGCCCTTCAACTAATGATCATTAAAGGAAATGATCTGAGAATCTAAAAGGCAGTATGGTTTCCCTCAAAATCCAGTTTCATAGCCCAGTTTCATTGCTATAACAGCAAGCAGTGGCGCCTTCCCAGTGACTGTAAAAAAATAACAGAAAACTTGACCAGGATGCAACTTTCAATTAGTTATATTTCCTATTTAATGCCTGAAAAAGAGTTAATGGAAAGTCGTCAGTATAAGCTAGATGATTCTATAAAAGTGTATTTAGACATAGGCCAAAGACACAACATAAGCTTTTTAATAAGCTACAGTCAGTAGTCGAGTGGAAGGGTGGGATGAGGGGGAATGGATTCCTCCTGAAATAAAAACAATCAAAATCATCCCCCCTGTAAAAATGCTAACCCTCCATCATCTTAATTTTTTGAGCAGGGTAAATAATAAAATCTGAGGGCACAACTGTGCACGGAAACATGCAATGACACAACATGCTTGTTTATTTCAATTTGTCAGTGCAAGATGCCAGAGGGAGCGGCAAAAAATGCAGCAAGAGCTGCTATATCAGCACTAAACAAGCAGTATCAAGAGACTTTTTAACAGAAGAAAAGTACAGTTGAGCTATAGATTATCTACAAAAGTCATCACAGGTTGCAAATTTAAAAAACTAGTCGTGTAGCCTCCAAGCTTGCTGAGAATAGATGCATTTGGTATGAACTGCACCTACCAGAAATAGCTTATTAGTAAGGCTAAGTTTACAACATCAAAGTATTAATTAATCAGCTAATATAGGCTAATATTGCTTAGCTATTTATTTGAGGATCATTTTGCATGTTGTTTACATAACATCCATAAGTATTAGACCCATTACCAGTAAATAGCCTTCATCAAAAAAGCCTATTATTAAAAATATGTCACAGATTAATTGTTCAAGCTTGTATTTATGTATTAGTTGATGACGGATTGGAAGACAGCGTGTAGGGGCATTTTTGTTTACAAAACTTAGATCCAATCACCTGTCCATTCACCTGTGACAGGATGGTGTTTTCCCATCATGCACTATGCCATGCAGCCTCCTCAGCTGCTTTAACACCAACTGGATCTGCAAAGGTCTAGCTAATCTTGAACACACCTATTAACTCAGGTCACTGAAAACAAAATGACTAAAAATATGAAAGCTGTCACTCATATTCTAATGTAATTTTTTTTATATCAATTTTATTATGTGTCTTGGTCCTCTTAAAATGCTAAAATCTGATTTCTATGTCCAGTCTTGGCTTAAAAGTTTTTGTTTAGCTTTTAATCAAAGAACTCAACAAATCTTTGACAAAAAAACATGATTATGATCATCTTTGAAAACTGTTACTAAACACTGAGAAACTAAAAATGGAAGAGAATTCTGTTGTAAAATACTGTCTTTAAAAGAGATTACTGTTATGAAAAAATTACTTTGCTTAAAATGAATCGAGATGATCAACAAGTCTCACTTCCACTCTCTTCCATTTATAACAAATTTGCAAGCAACTTTTTTTAAAGTGAATAAAAATTGACTATCCACCCTTTTAGACATCAATATGTCTTTATATCATATACCATTGTCTTCCTCCCCACAGTTAATTCTTTTGACTTTACAAGCCTTTTCACTTTTAACAATTTAACTTTTTTTTTTGTTGCTGCCTCTTGTACAGGTCTCTCTGAAAAAGTTTTTTAATCTTAATGGGACTATGTTGATTAAATAAAGGTTAAATAAAAAATATAAAATGGATGTCAGCAGTATTCTAAACTAAGTAGCTGAAGATTAAACAAACCAATCACCATCAAAATTGTGATTTTATGAATGTATAGCGTTTTGTAGCTGATGTATTATGTCTGTGTGTGATTTCAGTCTTCAAAGTGGTAATATAAGTAAAGCTGTTTCACTTCTTCTTCAAATGTTTAATTTACAATGTCTAAGAGGAAAGAAAAAACTTTATTTTTACATTTTAATTCTCTACTTATAATACTTTATATCACTGAAAAAGAAAAAATAGTTAGTTGATAGATGTTCAAAAATATTTTAGAAAAAAAGCTGAACGAATGGTATAATAACACATGGGTTGTTCAGACATTCAGTTCAATTCAGTTTATTTATCATCGGCAGCGCCAATTCCAAACATATGTCATCTCTAGGGCGTTTAAAGAGACAGTGTAGTCAGATTGGCTAAAAGTTTCGGTCAAGAAAAACCTGTTGATTGCATCAAGTCACTGACTTCCAAGATATGTTCCCCCTGGATGAGCTTGTGGCGATGATTTTTGTTTGCATGCAAGCTTGCGAGATATATCATGTGCAAATTCTAATTAACAACTTCCTTTTCAAAAATGCCTTTTATTAAATGAAACTGGCTTTATAAATGAAGTGTGATTTATTGAATTCAATAAACCAGTAATAATAAATTGGTACTGAACTTGACTATTTCAGGATCTGACTAAAGTACTGTTAAATATCCAATCAGAGGATAAGCATGACATACGAAGCTGTGGAGGCCTTAGTCAGCTAACATCAAAATACAATAACCCGAGCTGCAGGACAAAAACTATGTGGTTTATCAGAGGAAAAAGATTAACAAACATTTGTATAGGTGTAGTATATTAAGCATGCATGAACATGTCAGTGAAACTTTAATCTCCACCATTTGGTGCTGTTCAAATATAAACCTCGCCAGCAATGCTACACAGTTGTTTGCAACAGGAAGTTAGAAAATAAAGTTTAAAGCTATAATGAGTAATTATTTCAGTGTTGCTGCTAACTGGCAAAGATGTTACCTGCTTTTAAGAACCTATCATTAACTTTCTCTCATAATGTCTTGTTATGCCATGTGCGTTTACACCTTGGACAAAATGAGAACCTGAGGTTCAGGTTCAAAGGTAAGAATTTCTAAATATATCCTGTATGTTTCCTGATGTTTCCAAACTGAAAAAATGTTCAAAGACAATCCATTAATAATGGCAATCAAAAAGAATTATTGACTTTCTACAACATTAATTTGGAAACAAATTAATTACAAGGCAATGTGTGTGAAAAGATAACATATTGGCAATTTGTTGTTTATACACATAAAATGAGAACTTTGTCCATATGAAGTAAAATTTGATTTGAATACCTTAATTTGTACTTTAGCAAAATACTTATTCTTATGCAACTTCTTTTAAGTTCAGTTCCATTGATATTCTAATTGTACATAAATACAATTCAATATCCAAGGCAATATTAACAACCAACAAAGAGATTCCTTTTTATATTTTCAAATATTATATCTGGGACCTGCCGGCTAACATCTCTAAGAGTCTGATATTCTTTAAAAGACTTGTTGACAGAAATAGATTAAAACCCACCTGTGACATGTAGCCTATCCCCACTGACGTCGATCTTGAGGAAAAGGCGGCCGCGACGCTCAGTGTGATCCGTCCCACACAGGCTGGGCACATTGACTACACACTGCTTGTGCACGTTCATGTCGCAGGCTACAAGGATACGAAGGACAAAGGGAAAAAACAGATGACTGAGTTTTAACTGAACAGAAGAGTTTGATAGTGAGATAACAAGTGCAATGTTCAAATTTTATTTCTCATGTTAATAGATGGAGTCATCTTCTAAAAAAAAAAAATAAAAGTTGAGCATATAAAGATATAGATTAGTTATTTTACAATGTCTGGTTTTAATATTGTTGATACAATTTGCAAGATGCAGCAAGGAAAGCTCTGCCTATTAGCAGGAAGTACAAAAATAGCTTCAGGGTTTTCTTTTATGAAAGAAAAATGAAGTAGGATGCTTCACTAAAGGGGTTTAGGAAACATCAAAAACCATTTTAGCTTTAATAAATCATAAATCTGTGGCCTGATGAACATGAAACTTTGTTTTACAGCCTGGTCTTTACAGTATGAATATAGACCATTAGACCCATACAGGACTGCATCATTAACCTAATTAAAATAATGCTTATGTAACTGAATCAGAGGCTAATTCCACACGTTGACAGGAAAATGCTTGTTTATTTAAAAGTAGTTGGTTTTTTTTGCAATACTTTGTCTTTGAAATAAAGTTAAAGTATCATAAAATACCAAGACAGTCCACTCTTTGTGTAGTGGAGCGAACTTAGAAAATCAGCTGGGCATCAGATTTCTTGTTTTCTCTCACTGTTCACAGCTGTAAAAGTTTATCGACTAAAAATATCCCCCAGACTCGTTAATGTTTTATCCTTCCTCGTGCTACAGATGGAAGTTATTCCCACACGTTCTGCATTATGAGATACTGTGATGGAATCATCTCACTGTGAGCTCACTGCTGCACTCTTCTGCAAGATCAAATGCGCTGACTGCTGGGAAATAGTTGGTTGTTATTCTCAACATTTGCCAATATTTGTACCCTAAAGAACACAAATGGAAAAGCTTTTATAGCACAGAGCTTTGACACATAATACTCCGTAAGGCCACAATGCACGAGAATTTACTTTCACATTTAAAGCACATCTCTTTGCTACAACAGAGCTTTAGGGCCAGGCTAGAGATGTTTTTTTTTCTTTTTCCAAGAATAAAGTTGCAACATTCTGAGAATAAAGTCGTAACATTCTGAGAATATAGTCGTAACATTTCCGAGAATAAAGTCGTACTAATACGAGAATAAGGTCGTAACATTACGAGAATAAAGTTATAATATTACAAGAATAAAGTCAAAACATTACGGAAATAAAGTAGTAATTATTATTAGAATAGAGTTGAAAAATACTGAGAATGAAGTCACAACCCATTTCAGAAAGAAAGCTTCAAGCTGCGATCTGCCAGAAACAAACAACATCCGGAGTCCACTTTGACATACTGCCCAATTTGATGCCGTGTGCTAAAAGATTTCCTTATTTGTCAAACCGATGCCAAAGTATAATTTTACATGATGCTCGACTTTCCTAATTTTAGGGAAAAAAGTGCTTCTTGCTTCAAGTTGTCATTAAAAAGAACTTTATTTTCTTAATAACATGACTTTATTCTCATAATATTACAACTTTATTCTCATAATGTAACATAACAAGAATAAAGTCGTAATGTTACTAATGTTATGAATCTATTCTCATAATGACTTTATTCTTGTAATTTTACAACATTATTCTGGCGAATTTATAATTTTATCCTTGTAATTTTATGACTATTCTCGTTGCGACTTTATTCTTTTAATTTTATGACTTTATTTTCATAATATTACGACTTTATTCTCGAAATAAAATATAAAAATATCTCTAGCCTGGCCCTAGTATGCTGTCGTACTTTCATTTTATGGTGATCTCTTTCCTACTTGTTTATTTTTGAAGCTGTGATAAAGAAAAGGGGAGATAGAAGATGTTGAAGAAGCTCATAATAGCCATGGTCACCTCAGATTAATTTGTTCCAGAGTGGTCTAATCACCATATTGGATTAGGGAACCTCCAGAGACCACCAGATGGATGTACAGAGTATAATGAAGAGAAGGGCAGAGTGATGGATGAGGAGAAAGCTGCAACAGATGAGAGGACAGGGCACAAGAGTACAGTATGATGAGGGACAGAAAGGGGAGGAAAACATGAACAAAACTCCAGATTCTTCAAGATTGAACTTTCCAGAGCCTCAGTGCTTTAACTCCATTTTTAAATGCAATGCAGAGAAGCAGCATGAAGGGTAAAGCTGATATATATGTTGTATTTAGCAAATGATAAAATAAATTAGTATAAGTATGGAAACGGAGAGTATGAAAAAATGGAATGATATAAACATAAGCAGCATGCTTTATATATTATATATAACAATACCATCTAACAATACCAGCATCTATATTGAATTATTATATATATATATATTTTTTTTTTTTAACACATTAAGAATAATTGTCTTGATGCCAAAAAGAGCCCATCAGATTTTACTTTCACAAGTGGAGCAGTACGGCTATCGCAATAGTGTTCCGCTTGATTTATGCATATAAATACCTTTATTATAATTAATGCAGGGAGTATTACAGATTTTAGTATAGAACAGAAAAAGTAGAACAGGAAAGGAAAAACATTAAAGAGAGAAAAAAAAGATTAAAGAGAGAGACATAAGGGGAGATAAAAGGGAGATAACGATAAAACAAAAAAATATATATATATACTTTGTTTTTTTTCTTTTAAGTAATTTAGTTGCTGTGGTTGAGATAATGTGGCATAACTAAAGTGCATTTATATCTATTAGATAAAGACTGGACATCGTTCCTTAGGGCGTTCTGGTAGACAGTAGAAATCACGTTCCATTAAATATGGCATATTGTTTATGATCTAAAGAAGCAAAGTAGCGGGAGAACATCTAACTGTAATCTCCATGTGGTTTATGATGTTCTTGAAGTCCCTGAAATTTTTGTCTCTTTTTCTATAAAATATTATCCCATAAACTCTGGGGATTATCAGGATATTTTTCATTAATGTTAGAAAGACGTCTGTGTTGTTTTTAATCAGAAGGGGTTTTGTCACTGAAACTCTCCCAATGCCAACGACAATGTCACTGATGTCAATGTTTTGTTATTTTGGAATTAAGAATAATTACCTGATATAAAAACAACAAAAAATCGTTGTCATGGGTTCTTTTGGTAGGCTGGTCAGTCCTGGAATTGTTACCACTATGATGTTTCTATTTTTGGATATTAACCTAATGTTCAAAACCCAGATCCTCAGGAAGCCCTGCTCTGCATGTTTTAGATGTGTCTTTGCTCCAGCTGATTCAATGGTCAATCCTCATCTGCATTATATCCAATGCTGCAGAAGTCAAAAATGTGTGGTAGCAAGGACACTTAAAACATGAGGAGCAGCGTTGAATATCATTTAAACAATCATTACATTTCATCACATTTCTTTTTTTAATGTTTTTTTGCCTTTTGAGATATTTTAACCTACTCTGTGTTGTTAGGTCGGTTATATTATAAAATCTAAAATAGTTTTTTAATTATTCTATTATTTTGTTTATTGCCAAACAGGGCCAGTCTGATTTGAATGGTTTAAAAAACCCAAAAAACAAACAAATTTAAAGTGATATAAAATTTTCATGAATTTGTTTTTCCCTGATATAAAAATGTGTTATAAGATCAGACACATTTAATTGTTATAAAACAACAAAAACAGGATATCTGTGATAATACCTTTTTTACAGCACTGTACAGATGGGACTTTGTTGATATAAAGTGTAAATGTCAATAGTCCAGCAAAAGAGCCTTGTGGAACACCAACCAACAGCTTTATGGGAGATGATCCAGGATTTTTTATCAGACTAATATGGATGGCAAAGGTCAAAAAAGGAAAGTAAATGGGAGAAACTATGATTTCAGTTCAGGAATTGAGGGCAGCAGCACAGAGACCCAAAGAAAAGGGGAGAAAAGTGGAAAGTATGCAGAATGAATGTGATCACAGAGAGGTCTCAGTGGGGCAGAGCGATGAATTCTGTCTGGGCTGCAGCACCAGGGTATTCCCATCTGTTCTCATTAGGACCAGCTGAAGGAAAAAACCAGCACAGGATGTTCAACACAGGTGCAGCCACACACACCCACAAGGAGTAATACTCACTGTCACATTTCATCCCCTGGTGGATAAGCCCATACAGCAGCGATCCACAGTGGTCACAGAACGTGGGGCTGCCGTATGTGTGGATCTTGAACTTGTGCTTGCTTCTGGGGTCCTGGAATTACAGGAGACATGAGTAGAAAATAAAAATAAATAAAATAACAGTTAGAGGACTCGCTGAGAGAGAGTTGTTTTCAACCCTTAAACCACATTGTGGGTAAAATGAAGATTCCCCGAAGCATAACAGGGAAAGTTAAAACTGGACTGAGGGACTTTTACATATAAATGAGCTTCACTTACATTCTGCTTCTCAACACACAAGGCTGAGTGAGCCTTTCAGCGTCAGCTTGCCAGAATTTTAAATCTGTTTCTGTGATGACATTCCCAGAGTGTTGCACCAGCAGCAATGCATTTCATATTTACCACCTGTGACAGTTTTGCCTCAGATAGGGAGGGGAGCAGCTTAATGAGGGGGGCAGCATATGATGCAGAAACTATGGCTTTAGATTTAAAAACCAGTATATATTTTGAAGCAAAATTTAAATCTACATGAAACCCACACCCCTGTCAGAACTTGTTCTGGCCCACAAAAAAAAAATAAATAAATAAAACAGCAAGTCTCAAGTCTACAAATACTAAAAAATGTTTTTAAATCACCTCAAAAAATACAAATTCAGTGTATTCTGGCTTTTCATTTATAAACTGCATTATACTCTTTTATTGATGTGTGATCTTAATCTTAAACAGGACAAACAACAATTAACTTACACCTAAGGAGAATTGTAGAGATCAATTAACGTGACAGTCATGTTTTGGACTGGGGGAGGAAGCCGGAGTAACCAGAGAGAACCCACACATGCACAGGCAGAATATGCAAAATACATGCAGAAAGACCCAAGGCCAGGATTCGAACCCAGAACCTCCTTGCTGCAGCCCAATAAGCACAAATTGAAAAAATAATAAAGTTTATCTTTGGTAGGACAATCTGTAAACGGAACTAAACTTTAAATTTAACAGGGAGAATAGGGAACATATAAAATATGTTTCATACTTTTATCTTTTATCAAAAAGATAACAGTATAAAAAAATATATACAAAAATGAATATATCCCTTTTAACCAGTTGCAACAGAACAGACCTGCTTTTGACGCATTATAGTAAATATATAGTAAAATTCAATCCCTAAACAAAAAAAAAAGCATTCAAATAACTAAATAAAAAATCTACATAGACCTTGACTGACTTAATGACCCTAACTCTAACAGCCAATAAGTAGAAAACCTTCACTTTTCATAAATATCTACTTAACACACAATTGAAAAGCCAGTTGGAAATCTATTTTCAGGTTTTAATCTATTTTAGAACCTGTTACCTTCTGGTCTAAATCTAGCTGAATGACTTTTCTGACACAATAGAAATGTGGCAATATTTAAAAAATTATCTATTCATCCATTCATTTATTATTTCTCAGTTTTATAATAAAAACAAAAAAAATTTCCTTCATACCTCAATAACTTCTTTCAATCTTTGCATTATGTGCATTATTGTAGGGCACATCATCAAACACAATTCCAATAAACCAGCGGCAGCTCCTACATCAGGGGTCTTTGCATCTTTTACTCCAGGATCCCACATTAATGGAAAAATTAAGCAAGGACACTTTTTCTACGTTTGGCACAGTTCTTAACAGCTGGTTAAGGTGTGGTGATGTAAACTGTAATAAATGGTTCATGCTCACCCACTTTAAAGAGCTCTGCCCAACAACACTTTAATACAACTGCAAAGAGCTGTTACATCACTGTCACCAGGTTTGCAATTAGGAACCTGGTCTGAAACATTTACTTCTTTCTTCTTTATTAAAATGTTTTTGAAAGTCTTCTAACATAACATTTCCAGTTATGCGTACAACAATTTGATGACAGGACAATTTTACTACTGTCTGCTGCCTAGCAACAGGAGGACCATAAACTGGCAAACGGCTTGAGGTGTGCAGCGGGGAGAATTGTGCTCATTGGACGGTTCTATCAGAGGGCATCAGGTGAGATTCAATTAATGCAAACATTTTATTGAATATAAAGTTCTTCAAAATCAAATCCTTTGAGTCCAAGTAACTACAAGTTGCACGTCCTTAGTGTGATGTTCTAATTTGAGTTCTTTTGTGATTTTACACAAAACAAGACGCAGAGTCGAAAGCTATTAAAATGGTAACTTGTGTGTGACTCAATATCGAGTAATGACTTGAGTAGACTCAATGGCAAATAAACAAAGACATCAAAAACAAACAGAAAACAAAGAATTTACCAAAAATCAGCAATCAAAAAAAAAAAAAAACAAGTGACAAAGATTAAAACCAATAAATATAATAACACAGACGAAGTTACCGAAAAAAAAAACTGCAGAAAACAAAATAATAAATAAATAATTTCAAAATAAATACACTTCATTTAGATACGCAAAAGTGGATCATAGCAGACTACATAAACTGGAATAAATCTGGGAGAGAGAAGGCTTTTTGCCACTCATACACACACATCTACAGTCTTGGAGACTTTACAATGAGATTGGCTGATCAGCGTGGCTAAGTCTCATTCAACATACACCAATTCATACATTTTTCTGTCTGCACTGTGTTAGCTGAGGTTAGCTAATTTCTGCAATCATTGCAAAACAAACATGGCTCTAATTAAAGCCCTGCAAATGAAGGTGGATAAACCCCCGTCAGCAACGCCTCCATCATGATGAACTGTGTCAGAATGGCTGCATGTGTAATTATGCAGACCACCAACTGAGTTAGAAGGCGTACGTCGCTGAAGAGGGCCTTTTTTCCACAAGCCGACTGAATTAGGTAAACAACACGATGTCAGAGAGTGGGATAGAGAGGTGGTGTGGGGGGTGATGTCAGTCTTTTAACAAGGAAGGAGGTTTTGAGTACTACGATTCGACAGACAAGGGAACGATGAGTCAGAAGTGTAAAGCTCTCAGAAAAGTCTAATAGTAAAGGCCTATTTTCTGCACTGTTCCCTCAGTATTTGTTTATTGCTTTTCATTGTAATCATGCTCCTTTGACTGCTGTCATTCCTAATGAGCCTATATTAAGAAAGTATTTAATTTTTCATTAGCAAGAAGTTTAAATCATGCTTGATTGAGTTAATTACAGCCAATATGGGATTAGATAGCAACAGAGGTCAAAAATAGTTTTTGTTATTGTCCAGAAACTTTAAACACTACAATGTTTATGTTTATTTCTATTCATATAAAGTAACTGTTTCTTTTTTGCTTTTCATCCTGGGTAAAATGACTTGCACCACTTGGATTAGTTGTGAGGATTTGACTGGAGAAAAATGCATTGGGAGATACAATCTTTGCAGAGCCTCAGGCTTCAGCATGTGTTAGAGCCTGCATGCCAACTTGCATTTCCTTCAGAATTTGAGCTGGAGCTCTTATGTTTGGAAAGACATTTAGAAAACAAAAAACCTACTGTATTAGATTCTATTTTAGTGTGAAAAAAGCAAATACTTTGAAAAAATAGCCATTAAAAAGAAAGCAATACCTCCCTTTTTTATGGCTTTTAGAATGCAAATTTCACTAGAACCCCAGTTCTAGACATTGCCTGCTGTAGAAATGTATAAAATAAGAGAACAACCCTGTTAATGGATGTATTATCTAAATAAGCACAGTGCTTATGACACACTCCATTACACACTGGTAGTTGTGTAATCTGACCATAATGTTAGCTGCATGCTCATAAAAAAAACTAATCTAGTTTTACACAAACGGAAAAGCTTCTTTTGTGCAATGCATGCTAAAAAAGGTTGTGTTGAAAACAAACCAAACACGGATCAGGTCTGGGCATTTTTATCAGACTATCAAAGGGATCATTAAAGGCAGTTAGCCATTTCCTGTCCTATTTATGTAAATGTTTAGTGAGTATATAGATCTTTTTATCACTCTCCTCTAAAACCAACGATGTTTACAAATCACTTTTTCAAAGTCTAAGTCACACCTAAAATAACTGAGTTGAATGCATCATCATTTATGAAGACTTCTTTTTTTTCTTTAAGATGTTATAAAAGGAATATTCAAAACGTTTTTTAAGCCTTTCTGATTTTAAGGCATATCAGCTATTTATACAATGAGTTTTTGAAGTCCCTTTGCTATGGAGGAAGTCTTTATGAATAAGGTATTACTACATCATTTTAAAACAATGTTTAACTTCAGTTGACACTGTATTTTATTGCACTCTGCAGTGGCTGCTGAAAATGATCATGTCTGTTGCTAGCTAGATATTGTCTGAAGGAAAAAATGTTGTTGTCAAGAATCGTTACAAATCTGTAGATTGCGTGTTGGCCTAGTGGGTTAGAGCAGTGCACTTCTGCTCTGAGAAGGTTGCAAGTACCCGGATTGATCCCCACTGTCTCCACTGTGGGTTCCTGAGTGAAAACCCTTAACCGCCGATTGCTCCCTGGGCACAACACAATGGCATCCCACTGCTCCCCAAAGGGATGGGTTAAATTCAAAGGTAAATTTCTCCAATGTTAAGTTAAGGTTTACTTGCAGAGCCCTTTAAAACAGTTAAGAGCTGTAAACAAATTGCTGACTATATCTAAAAAAATTACATGTATATACAGTAAAATGCACCATAAAGATATAAAATAAGGCAATAATACGAATTTGTTTAAACAAAATTATCAAGGTCACAACAACTTAGTCCTGCTGTTAAAATAAGGTTCTAAACCGTGTTTTAAAATTTGTCAGTGAACGAGCATCCCTAATTTGCGGAGCAGCAGTTGACAGAGCTGTACACACATAAAATTGATGAATAATTTTTCCAAAGCTGAAATATTTTTTCCCCCAACTCTAGGTGGACAGAATGATATTTTGATTTAGATTGGAGGCAGGTTTGCAGAGGATAGAGATAGAGAGCGTGACATGTATGTATGTTGACTACTCACTTTACATTAAGAGACCACTGGCTGCATCTTTACTGGTCAGTTCAAATTAGTATATGTCAGCTGTCTTTATTTGTACCCAAAAGTAAAATTAATAGCACTGCAGAAAGGAATAAACAGAAGCATTTAACAGAACATACCAAGATACAACAATATCTATAGTTTG